ACCTCCCTTCCTTTTCCCCCAGTCCCGCGCCCTCCCCGCTAATTCGCTCATTCTCTCGCACAGCCGCATCTCTGTCCTTCCCCTCGGATCGGGCGCGCTCGCTGGAAACCCATTCTGCGTCGACCGCGAACTGTTGAGGAACGAGCTTGGGTTCCAGACTATCGGCGGAAACTCGATGCAGGTGCGTCCTCGCTCTCTCCCTTGGCTTCCTCGCTCGACCTGGCTTGGAGCACAAACGAGACGAGTCGTAAGACACGGACGAGAAAGCTGACGGCTTTTGTGCCCGCTTGCAGTCGGTCGCCGACCGCGACTTTGTCGCCGAGTACGTCTTCGTCTGCTCGCTCCTCATGGTCCACATCTCGCGCTTCGCCGAGGACATCATCATCTACTCGTCGAGCGAGTTCAACTGGCTCGTCTGCGGCGATGCGTACAGGTGCGTTCCATCTACTCCCCTCTTCCCCGATATGACAGAGGTTGATGGTCGAGGCACCGCAGCACCGGTTCGTCCATCATGCCTCAGAAGAAGAACCCCGACGCCTGCGAATTGCTCCGCGGCAAATCAGGCCGCACGGTGGGCCAACTCGCGGGTTTCTTGACGACCCTCAAGGGCTTGCCGGCGACGTACAACAAGGACTTGCAGGAGAGCCAGGAACCGATGTTTGATGCGGCTGTCACGGTGGGCAAGAGCTTGAGGATCCTTCAGGGAGTCGTGTCGACGCTCAAGGTGCGTGTTCGGCTGCGGTCATCTTGTCGGTGCGGGCGGGGCTCTTCGAGCGGAAGGCGGGTCCTGCTAGCCGTGCAACTGGCCGTTAGCTGACATGGGGCTTACACTCTCGCGCAGATCTTCCCGGAGAACATGAAGAAGAGCTTGACGCCCGACATGCTCGCGACCGACCTCGCCGAGTACCTCGTTCGCCGCGGCGTGCGTCCCCTTCTTCCTCCTCCCGCTCGCTCTCAGCTCACAACCTCTTCTCGTACCGCGCAGATCCCCTTCCGCGAGACGCACCACATCTCAGGCTCATGCATCCGTCTCTCGGAGCAACGCGGCGTCCCTCTCTCCGCCCTCTCCCTCGAAGACTTCAAGTCCGTCTCGCCCCACTTTGGCGACGACGTTCACGAGGTGTTCAATTTCGAGACGAGCGTCGAGAGGAGGGACGCCAAGGGCGGGACGAGTAGGAGGGCCGTGTTGGAGCAGGTTGAGGCGCTCAAGAGCAAGTTGGTCGCGAGTGCGAAGTAGGCGCGCGGATGTGGGGGTGTCCATAGAAAGAGGTGAAAAGGCGTTGTATGGAGCTCGTTGATGCGCTGTACGGGGAGAGTAGAGGGAGAACGTGAGCGAAGTTGACGGGGTCGACCTTCCCAAAGAGCGATCTCGAGTCTCGCTCGCTCGCTCATCGCTCTATTCGCAGGGCCGTGAATACAGAGTGATATCAAGAGAGCCTCTACGGACAACGCGAGGGGAACGAGAGAGCCTAGTGATCGCCTACGTGGTGGCCGGATCCCCCCTGCGAGTGTCCAGGCGGCGCCGGAAGCTGGAGCTGGTTTCGGTGAGTGCTGATGCGGTGCGGGATGTATTGCTGCGCGGGAAGAGAGGTATCAGCACGGGTTCTCGGCCAGCGGAGGTAGAAAGGATCAAAATCGCAAAAGTCCCGCTTCGAAGCGGACCTCAGGTCTCGAGGAATGGCACGGCGAGAAGGGAAGGAACGTACCGCCACAAAGCGTGCAATGGCTTGACTGTACCTGCGCCACTCGTCGAAGAATTTATGCAGGTCGTGCTCGTGCTCGTGCTTGAAGTGGAAGTCGGCGGCCGCAGCCCACGGCGGGAAGGGGTTGGAGGTGACGATGTTGTAGACGGCGTTGAGGAACTCTTGCTCGTCCATCCGGTACTGGTGGACCTCGGACCTCGGCAGGTGACCGCCGCGGGCGAGGTCATGGAGAGCGCGTCGCCAGAAGTTGATGCTGAAATCGGACGACTGGAGCTCGTTGTAAGCGAGCTGCGTCCTGATGATGAGACCCATCATGTGCACGTCGAATGTGGCGAGAGGGATGTGTGTGAAGTCGTCCCCGTGAGCCAGCGGGTTCGCCGCAACGATCGTCACGAAGTAATCGAGGAGGGTCGCGGCGGCCGTCTTGATGGGGACCATGACATGGTCCATGCCTGCGCCTGCTTCAAGCAGCATTTTGGGCTCGACATCGGGCCGCGTGTGTTGGAAGCGCAGGTGAAGTTGCCATGGTTGAGGTCTACAAGTCGAGTCTCAGCGACAGCTCGTGCAGCGACGCATCCTTCACCTTACACTGTTCCATATCCAATGCTGTGCCAGTCAGGGGCATACAGCATGTAGCTGGCGGAGCCCTCTGAGCCTTGAGAGGGGAGGTAAGCGCCGGGCAAGGAGGGTCGGACCGCGTCAACGTCGTCGGGGTGGATCCAGATCTCGATGACCTGCGACGGGGTGTCAGCACGTACCGACTTCGAGCGGGAGCGAGTGCGCACACGCACCATATTACGGAGCTCCTCCTTGCGAAACGCAATCTCGTCGTACACGAACAGGCCAGCAGGCGTATCCGACGTCCAGATCTCGGTCAAGAGCGCCGCCTCGCCTGCGGATGCAGCCGTCAGTTCAGCAAGCCGCCGGAAGCAACCACCCACACACCTTCGATAGCGTAGCGGATGCGATGCTGGCTGAACGTCTTGGCGATGACCCAGATGGGTCCGAGAATCTTGCAGTAGTGTAGCTCAGGTGAGCTTGCTTGAGGAACAAACTGCGCCATGAGTGACCAGTAGCTGAAGGCAGGAGGAGAGGAAGGGCGACAAAGCCAGCGGCGAGCCTCCTCGAGGCCGGAAAATCCGCGGAGGGCTTCGAGGCAACAAAGCTCAAGCGCTATGGTAATCAGCAGGGAGCGAAGGTCACCTCGTAGGCAGAAGCAGACTTGCCCAAGCCGCGAGCCGCGAGCGCAAGCTTGACCTTCGCAAGCAACAGTCTCGCAACTCTCGCCGCTCGGCGTTCAATTAGATGGTGTCATAGTGGGCACAGCATCCTTCTCCTGCACCGCGACACCTCCCAGACCCTTAGCGCCCGACCAACTCTTCACGACGGAGCATCAAGAGAGAGTTTGCCGCGAGGGGGGAGGCGCGAGGATTGATAGAGCCCAGCTCATGCATTGTCAGCTTGGCGATGTTCTGCGGAAGTTGAGAACACCAAGTCAGCGGTGCGAAGGAGAAGGGGAGCTTCCGGGTGGAGAAAAGGCTTCACCTGCCCGACGACGCACCTACAAGAATGTGCTTGAGGAATTCGGAGTACTTCTGCCAGGCCTCCTCAACTTCCGTCTCCGTACCGAGATGGCCGCCCTTGCGATCCTCCTCTGCCGCCCAGAGGACGAATTCTGGCCAGCCAAGGATCGTCTCGAGTTCCCAAGCGAGTTTTGCATAGTCGCCATGTGGGAAACGATGCGTTTGGTGAGAGGTACAGGTCGACCAACGACCGAGGCTGAAGGCGGCGCGCTGCGCCGGCGGAATTGAAGCGGCTGTCCTGAGGATGAGCCCCATCAGGTGGATCGCATCCTTGTTGAGTATACCAGCAAAGCCGCGCCACCGTTTGAGCGGGTCAGCAGCGACGATGGTGGCGCAGTAGTCGACGAGTTGGTCGGCGGCGCTGCGAATCGGTAGTCGCATGACTCGCGTCGAGTGTCCCGGCCCGTAGAGCGTACGCTGAATCGTGTCTGGGGCAGCTTGGCGGAGGTTCAAGCGAATCGGGAATGAGTCGGCGCTGTTCGGAGGCGAGTCGAAAGATCAGCCTCAGACCTCTATTGTCCATGAGTTTCAACGCACTCGCCACTCGCAGCCATCTGGGACCATCTGTGCGCATACCCGTAGAAGACCGATGTATCTTGGCCGTCCCAGTGGACGATTGGGAAGATCGGGCGCAGTTTGTGCGAATCCGACGGGTCAACCCAGATGTCGATAATCTGTGCAAAACGTCAGCGATTAGCAACCCTGACAACCTCGCAACACGACTCACCATGTTGCTGATTGGAGTCTGGGTCGCGAGCATCTCGTGCAAGACTTGCAGTTTGCTCAAGTTCACCGATGTGTACAGCTCGATCAAGAGCGCCGCCTTGCCTGCATCACGCAAGAGAGTCAGCGCACGACATCGCATCTGTTGCAAGAGGATGTGCGCACCTTCAATCGCGAAGCGCACGCCCTTGGACTCGAGAGCGGCCGAGATGGCGGAGACAGGACCGAGGATCTCCGAGTACGGCATGCTGTTGCGCGACACGGGCGCAAACTGCGCCATGGCGAGCGGACGAGCGTGCTCGTAGTGGACGAGGATAGGCGCTGACAGCGCTGGAGGAGGAGAAGCGTCGGAGAGTCCGCGGAATCCATGCAGCGTTCGGGAAGACCTGGTCAGCCGATAGCGGTGGTCTGCGATCTGCCGCGTGCCCGTGTCGACCTTCCGCGCAGCCGCGCCAGCGCAACGGCGCAGGTTGGCAGAGCCGGGGAGGAGGAGGAGGAGCGGAGTGAGGAGCGCAGATCTCTGAGCAAGTCTGGTCGGTCGAATGTGCAGCGGAGTGGAGCTCCAGAGCTCCGTGCTGCACGCGAAGCGCAGTCTCAAAGCAACGCTGGCATGAGCAGGCGGGGACGAGGAGGAGGAACTCGCGAACTTGCAGACATCCACCTCGACCAACTCGCCGCTCTCGCTACGCCGCTGCTTTGACCACTTTGCTGAGATTCGTCCGCTCGTTGGACACGTTTGTCAAACAGAGAACGCGCGGACCGAAGCGGTGAGTGCGCTCCTCTCCGCCCAAACATCCTCGCGACTCGGAACTGATGAGGGAATCGGCTTCACAGCGCGCGCGAGCAGCCGAGGTTGCGACAGTCGGCGCATGCAGTCAGCCCTCGACCTTCTGTCGGCGGCAGCGCTCCTCGACTCGCCGGCAGAGCCGCCGTCCACCCTCTCGACAGCTCCTGCCGCACCGCCTCCGGCCGCTGAAGCGACCGCAGCCCAAACAGCCACGCCCATCCTCGCCAGCGCCCAAGAGCAGCCTCATTACGCCGGCACCGGCGGCGCGCAGGAGCTTGGAGACATCGCGAGGGCGGTGATGGGCTTCCAGGGAGTGGGAACCGTGACTGCGGGCGGGCAGGGGAGGCAGCGGGTGCCGAGCAGCAGTGGGACGACGGGTCTGTTCGCCCAAAAGGCCCAGCCGAGCACGACGCAAGCCGCTGTGCTCCCGCCTCTCCCCTCTACCGCCGTCACGCTGCCGCCCCTTTCGGCTGCACCTCTCGCCGCGCAGACAGCGGCGCCTTCGCACGGTCACGGCACACGGCGTCAAGCACGGGAACAGCGCGCACAGGAGCAGCAGCAGCAAGCCCTCAAGTTCTACACGACCTCGACGGGTTCAGCGCAACTCGCTCCGATTGCAGCTCAAGCCGCGACAGCTCTGCCCTCTCTCCCGACGCTCCCGCTTCCGACACTCCCACCTTTGCCCGGTCATACTATGGCGTCGACTCTAGCGACACCACCAGCTCCACGTCCGCCCCCTCCTCCTTACGCCGTCCCTCCCGAGTCCGGCCTGATACGCTGCGTCTGCCCATACACAATCGACGACGGCTTCACCATCCAGTGCGACATCTGCAACGTCTGGCAGCATGCCGCCTGCGTCGGAATCCCCTCTCCCGCCGACGTTCCCGAGGAGTATCGCTGCGAACGGTGCGACCCGATTGGCGCGAGGGAGCGAGGCGTGGACGGGCGATTAGCCGAGGTCGGCATGCGGGTGCGGATACGGGAGATGGAGCGAGTTCAGGAGCAGATTCGGCGGGCAGAGGTTCTGCAGGCGCAGCAGCACAAGGAGAAGGCGGAGCGCGAGGCGCGTGAGGAGAGCCAGCGGGTCATGGCGGTGGAGAGGGCGCGGATGGTTGCGGCGCAGATGGGAGACGTTGACGCTGCACACGAGCCGCTCGCCACGCCGAAGCAGCGCCCTCGCGCGACGAAGCCGCGCAGGAGCGGTGGAAGCGCAGGACCTGCATCGATGCAGGTCGACGAGCCGTCGACCGAGCCAGGCGAGACGGAGCCCGCGGTCGAGACTGCAGCCACGCCGGCGCCTGCCGACCCATCCTCGACTGTTATTGCTGGAGGACCGGTTCCTTCGACTCCGCATCTCACGCCTCGCGATCCTACCCCGCCTCCTCACACTTCTGCCTCTGTCGAGCCAACGCGATCAGTCAGTGTCGAGGAAGACGCCGCATCACCCGCTCCAGGTCCATCCGCTCCGCCAAAGCCACCAGTCGCCATCGGTCGCAAAAGACGAGTCGCCAAGCAACCAAAAGGTCGAACCGCCTCGTCAACAGGTGACGGAGCGCAAGGCGACGACAGCGGAACCTACGCAGGCCAGGCGACTGAGCCGTCGGACGGTGGATTGCGTCTCTCCTCTCTCCGCGAGCGGGACCGCAGCGGGCGACATGCCTCGATGTCGGCGTCTGCAGCGGAGGACTCGGCGGCATCCTCTTCGGAAGATGAGCGTCCGCCAACGGCGAGTTCGTCGCGAGTCGAACGCCTTGAACGGATGGATCGGAGCGAGCGGGCTGTCGAGGACGACCGGTACGAGTCGTGGCGGTACGAGTTCACGCCTATCGGCTCGAATCTGTTCCCCGACGCGACTGTCCTCCAGCATCTCGACGAGATTCTCTCAGCACCTCCAGCTTCACCCCTCGACGAGATCGACGGAGCGACGCAGCCCGTGCTACAAAGGTTGCGCGAGCGGCAGGATGCGACAAGGGGTACGGTTGGAGGGCGGACCGGCGCGAAGGTCGTGGAGGCGCTCTACGACTTGCAGCCTGCCTACGTCTCGATGCCCTCACTTCCGCCTCATCAGCCGGTCGCCGTCAAAGCGCTCTCGCAGGCGGCGACTTCGCTCTCGGCTCCACCGATCCAGAGCGCCTACATCCCCTCGCCATACTCCTCGAGCTTGCACGCATCGTCGGCTGCAGCACAGGCTCTCTGCCCATATCCTCGGCCCACGACCTACGGTCTCTTCGCTTCCGCTCCGATCACAGCCGGCTCGTTCATCCTGCCGTACAGAGGCGAAGTCTGCGACCTCGAAACCTACCGTGCCGACCCGATAAACCAGTACGAGCTTCTCGGCGCGCCGAAGGGGGCCGTCCGCGCGCTGCCGCACCCGTGGAGCGTTGTCATCGACGCAAGGACGTGGGGAAACGAGGCGAGGTTTGCGAGGAGCGGCTGCAGGCCGACTGCTGTCCTGCGAGTCGTCAAGGTGGACGGCGGCAGCGGGAACGGCCCAAGACGGGGCGCGAAGCGATCCGGCTCACCGCGCTCTCGGTCGCGCTCGACCACGCCGTTCTTCCCCGCCCAGCCTCATCCGCCGAACAACACGATGTCCAAACCTCAGTGGCTCGCACAGCACCCAGAGCATCCCGTCACCGCGACCTTCCATCTCGCCGTCTTTGCGATCACCGACATTCCGAAACGCGGCGAGATTGTCCTGTCGTGGGACTGGGACGACGGGCATCTCGTCCACCTTCTTCCTTCCCTCCTGACCCTGCCGTCGCCCTTGCCCACGCCTTCGCTCCTCCCCCTCCTCGCCTCGCACCCAGAAGCAGCTGCTCGTCTTTCACGGTCGATGGCCCTCGTCGCGGACGCATTGCTCGCTCCTTCGTCCTCTTCGCTCGGCGGCGGTTGCGCCTGCGACCGGAAGCGCGATTGCGCGCTCTGGTGGCTCGCTAGAGCGGGTACCGCGTCATGCTTCTCGCTCACGGCGAAAGGCGGCGGCGGAAGGAGCACGGACGAGGTTGCGGAAGCGTTCCTCAATTCGTTTGCGATTGGGAGGGACAAGGAGAACATGGGCTTCGGAGCTGAGACGCACGGCAAGAAGAAAGGGGGAGGTGTGCAGGCGCGGCTCGTCGACCTCGGCGCGCTCGTCGGGCTCGAACGAGGCTGGATCGTCAACGAGCCGACCATGCATAGTCAGGGCCCCAACGCCGTCGGATTCGACGAGCTCGAGGTCAAGCCGCAGCTTGGTGACGCGACTTCTGACGACGACGCGCACGATGACGACTTCGAGAAGAACGCGATGGACGTCGACGAAGCCAACTCGGGCACGGATCGAGATGGACTGCGAGCACCTGGTGGGTCTTCCGATCTCAAATCCCAAGTCTCCACACGTACTGACAAGCTGGCCTGCCAGACCGCACCCATCTCGGCATCTCGCCATCTTCAGCCCTCACTTCGCTTCCGTCCCTTCCGTCCGCGGACGCCTCGTCCCCGGTGATTCGACCCGCCAACAGTCGCAGGAGTCCGCGACGCGACACACGCGTTGGTAGCGGCAGCGATACGGACGATTCGGATCTCACGGAGCCGTTGTCGAACCTGTCGGCGCAGGAAGACGACGAGGACGAGGACGATCTGTCCGAGCCAGACGAGTCGGTGCTGTCTCCGCCGCTTCCATCCAGGCTCCAGGTGCTCGCTCGCTCGCCGCCGCCACCACCGAAGAAGGGCGCAGTCAAGCTTAGCAAGAAGAAGCGCCAGGACTCTCAGGATTCGGACAGTCCTCTCAGCGACTTGGACGACGCGTCGGCCGGGCGTGCGGACCGCAAGATGCAGACGACGCCAGCAAAGAAGAAGCGCAAGACGGCTCGGTTCTATTCGTCGTCGTCGTCGTCGTCGTCGTCCGGCGAAGACGAGACTCGGCATGCCCAGGAAACGCTCAAGATGAAGCAAGATGGTGGCTCGTCGGCCTCTACTTCGACCGATCAGATCGCCGTGGGTACACAAGCGGACGCTCCAGAGTCGTCGAGCCTACCGACGGCGAACTCGAGTCGAGCCAAGCCGAAGATCGAGGTCAAGGTGGTCACCAAAACCGTGACCGTGCCAATCGACCAAGTGCCGAAGAATCGGCAAGCCTCGACGACGAAGAAGCGACCGCAAGTCGATTCTGCGGGATCGCTGGGCAGCCTCAAGATCCGCAAGCTCAAGGACAAGAAGACGGTACCGCGGATCCAGGACGAGTCGGATGGAGATGACGCCGAACCCGCTAGCCCCGTCGTGGCTTCTCCGACCACACTGAACAGCTTCGTTCAATCACTCCGTGCGAGCGAAGCGGCGGAACAAGCGGGCGAAGCTGTTGCGGCTCGGCGCCTGGAAAGCGACTTGAGCATAGCGGAGGGGGCTTCCGGTACGTTGCCGCTCTCTCGCCCTCGTTCTCCCTCTCTGACGAGACATCGAGCAGCATCGAACGCTTCAATCTCACCTGCTGTCAAAGACCCGACGCCGCCTCCGCCTGAACCGCCGAAGCCAGCTCCAGCTCCAGCTCCAGCACGCCTTTCTCTCGCGGCTTATCGACAACGCCAGATGCAAGCGCGAGTCCCACCGCCGCCTCCGCCGCCACTTGCGTCCGTTTCGATCCCGCCGCCGATGCCGTCTACGACTGCGCCTGCGGCCAACTCGCGAAACCCGCTTGCTGGCGTGAGCCCCGCACAACTCGAAGCGCTCGCCAGCGTTCTCGCTGCGTCCTCGTCGCCGGCGTCCTTAGAGGCAACGCTTGCACCGATCACGCCGTCACCTGCGGCGTTTGCTCTCAGCTTGCCGTCCGAAACTCCTCCTCTTCGCCCTGTCGCCGCGCTGTCGCCGCCTCTGCCGCCTCAGTCTTCTCTACCCATGACGCAGCGCGTCGCGACTGCAGCTCCTAGCTTCGCAGAATCGACTTTGCCCGCCACGACTGCGCGCGAAGTCGCCGAGTCGGAAGCGGGAACGCCGCCTCTTCCCCCGGCTCGCGATGTCGCCCCAGTGCCGGACCCTGAGCCTCTGCCTGCGGCGAGATTCAGCGCTGCGGACATCCTCAAAAGCATTGGCGATTACTTCGGCACCTCTTCGGGTTCTACGAACTCGTCGAAGCGGGGAACGCCAGTCGCGCAGGTTACGTCTCTCGCGGCCGCACCTTCGACTCGATCGGAGACGCGCGAGGCTGAAGAACACGCGTCCGAGCCTTCTCTGACGGCCGCAAGACCGGCGCCTTCCTCGACTCCTCCCATCCGCCCACAGCCAC